ATAATAATAACAATAACAACATTTACTCTTCTGCAAAAGCACTTTAAATTGTGAGCTTAAGATCAACCTAAAGCCTCAAGGTTTGTGCTCAAATCGTTTCTCAGATTTAGTTCTAGGACAAGCCGTGTCCCTTTGTGTGAGGAAGTTGACTTTCCAAACTGCAGCACTAAAAGCTATTATGACAGAAACAAGTGGAGAGAAATTTCTCCACATTAACACTGGCAGTGTACATGAGGCACTTTTTGCCTCAGGTGATGTCTATCAATCAGAAAGCAGGCAGTTCAATCCCCAGCTTCTTGATGTGTCAAAGTGTACAAATGGACAAGAAACTGAAACTGAAACTGGTCCAGATGGCGGACCAACGCTAATTAGTTAGTGACCGTGACTGGGTGGAAATGAAAGACTTTGCAAAGACCTTAAAAAAAACTAAAGCAAGGTTAGAAAGTGTTATAAAGCTAATGTCAGCTCATTACAACTCGACGTGCATGTCAAATACTGAATAAGTTAAAAAAATAAATATGAAGGAGGAAACTATTTTTTTAAATCAGGTTTAAGGAAAGAGTGATAGAAAGAAAGTTTTTGAACCTTTCCAGACAAATTTTGACTTAAATATGCATTTATATGTTTTTATGAAGTTGTGAATACTATTAACTTATTCCTTGTGTAGAAAATTTCTACGATACATTTCTACTAGAAATATACATGAATACCATATATAGATATTATTAATGCACTACAAATATAATATATTGTGAAGACATTACACTTTGTGTAAGAAATATTATAAATAAAGGGTAGGATTCTTTATTATGGCTCCGCCCACTGGGGCTGGAGACATATGGTTCTCTGGCCGTCTGTGTGTTAGGATTAGGGTAACGCTCAGTCTGATTAAATTTGGGCATCAAAGGGTCAAAGGTCAAGGTCATTTATGATGATTGGTAATATAAAACTGGCATTGTCTTCCAATTCCTCTACAATAAAACAAGGTAGAACTCGATGCCAAAGCATCGACAGGTATGCCTTCACTCGTCATAGACTTGTCTGCATTTAAAGCACTGGGCATGCAGTTACTTGCCGACCTCTATTTTTGGACTTAAATATTCTAAGACGTATGTAAATATATCAACAATGCTTGAACATGTATGGGGTGCTGTTTGTAAAGTTACACAGTCAAAAATTACCACCAAAATTTTTGTTTTATTTAGACTTTTATCAGAAAAAAGAACAGATTTATTTTTCAAAGTCAGTTTTTCACCATATGATTCATACATTTATAAATGTCAAAGTTTATAAACTAAATATTTAACTAACAAATTAAATATTTAGTTAACAAGCTAAATATTTAACTTGTGACTTAAAAATTTAGTTTTGAGCTAAATATTTAGGTTGCAACTTAAATATTTAGCTATCAATTTAAATATTTAACTAGCCACCTAAATATTTTACTTAAATATTTAGCTAGCTACCTAAATATTTAGGTTGCAACTTAAATAATTAGCTAGCAAGTTAAATATTTAGCTAGGCACCTAAATATTGAACTTAAACATTTAGCTACTACCTAAATATTTAGGTATCAAGGCATCAAGTTCCAAGTTGTTTGTTTTGTGGGTTTTTTAATTGTGTGTGTGTTATTTCTTTTTTCCTTAAATACTTTGTGCTATAAAGCTGTTTATAGCTTATCTCCTCTATATAGGGTTAACCAATGTGCGAAGTCCAGCTTAGGTGATTCAGTAGACAACCATGGGGAGAATATTAGTGAACATACCTGCATTGAGCTCCAGGACTGTCCTATCAGCTTTACTGAGCTGCAACCAAAGCCTGGTTTCACTGAGATACAGGGAGACAGAACCTTCCTGCTGCTGGAGAGCAAAGGTCAACAGAAGCCCTGCCTTGTTCCACGTCCTGAACTGCAGGTTCACAGAAACCAGCCCCGACCACCAGGACGTTCGCCCAGGCAGCTGGAGGAAGCTGTGAGCGTCGGTGAACGTCACGGAGACTGAAACCGGCTCGGTACAAGAAAAGGTCATACTGCCCTGTTGAAGGAAAGATGGATCTGGAATAATGATTACAAAACAGATGACTTTACATACATATTCATCGACTGCAGACGCTGACTCGGTTTGACTCGATGTCACAGAGGTCTCATCAGCACCTCTTGGAAAAAGGACACCTGTCCTCCTGTATTGATATTAGCTTCCATCCAAAACCTGAAGCATCAGGGTCACTTAGCTTTAGACCCTTATACAGGGAGTAAAATAAGTATTGAACACGTCAACATTTTTCTCAGTAAATATATTACTAGAGGTGCTAATGACATGAAATTTTCACCAGATGTTAGTAACAACCCAAGTGATCCATACATACAAAGAAATCAAACCATAAATGTCCAGAAATGAAGTTATTTGTAATAATGTGGAATGGCACAGGGAAAAAGTATTGAATTATCGAGTTTGGTGACGGGACAGACCCAGGGTGCAGGCAGGTTTCAAAATATAACAAAAAGATTTATTT